GGTGATGACACTTAATCCTTGTTTTGGGAGTGCTCTAATAAGACATGTGACATAGTGGATTAGATTAAGAATAATATTTTTATTAATTCTTGTGGTAGGATTCAAGTTTAGTTTTCTATTTTCACTTAGTATGAAGTTTGTTTTAATGTTTGTTATGCGAGAATCTTTACCCCAAGTTGGAGGTTTCAATTGACTATTTGAGCATGAATTTAATGTGTTTTTATATGTGTTAAGAATTTTTCAATTATCCATGTGTGCGAGATAGAAGATGTCACATTTAGTGGTATTATAGTAGGTTGATTCATTCGGTCGTTGTGCTATCTAGTTGTTTGTTGTAGTTTCAACATAACCATCCACCATCTTTCAATGAGGGATATGATTTGGAAGATGTTATGATCTGGTTGACAGAGTTAAAGAAAATATTTAAGTTATCTAGTTGTACAAAAGGTGAATTTGGCTACCTTTAAGTTATCTAGTGATACATATTTTTGGCGGGAGGGTACTTTATAACGAATGATGGTTGAGGGTATGTTAGTTGTTCTTCTTCCGCCATTCTTTTCATGTCCATCTCATATTCTCTAAGTTACCAAATAACTCAACACTTGTCATTTGAGCCAGATTCTTATATTCAGTGATTGTTGTCATAGTAGGTTGCCATCTCCTATTTAGTGACTTTAGGACTTTTACATTTACTTCTTCCTCATCAAAGATTTTTCCTAGGCCTTTCAAGTGGTTGATAATGTGTGTGAACCTTTTTTTCATATCCATGATAGTTTCTCCTTGTTTCATTCTGAACATCTCATATTCTTGGATGAAAGTGTTCTTTCTAACACGTCTAACTTCAGGAGTTCCTTCATGTGTCACTTGAATTAAGTCCCACGCTTCTTTTGTTGTTGTACAAGCTAAAATTCTAAAAATTTCTTTAGTGTTTAATGCAGAATGTATAATGTTTAGTGCCTTTGCATCATTCTCAACTCTTTTAATCTCACATTGATCCCAACTATCAAATGGTTTCTCTATTTCTTTTCCATTTTCTGTTTTAGTAGGGATATTCAGTAACCATAGCCTGCCATATGCTTTTATGAACAAATTCCATAAAGATTTTCATTCTCACTTTCCAAAAGGGCTAATTATCCCCATAAAAGAGAGGAGGTTTATTTATAGAGTCACCTTCAACAAATGGTAATTGCTTACCAATCATCTTAGGAGTTAGTGGATCTAATTTGACTAACTTTCAAATTTTAAGCTCTTGATAGTAATTGTTGGTCCTAGTATACTAGAATCTAGAAGGGGGGTTAAATAGATTCTATCCTAAGATAACACTCTTTTTCGCAATTCTTGAAAAATAACCTATCAAGAAAACTAAAATACAACCTTTAAGCTATTGAGTAACAATTGCAGTAGATTACAAGGTCTATTAGTGACGTAGCAGAGTATCAAAGTATATGCAGCGAATCAATCACTTGTAATCAAGGATGATTTTATATTACCTTCTTTTTAATCAGATTCAATTACAAGAATAAAGATCAGAGTTGGTACTTTAATTGAAATTTCATTTTTCCAAATCTTTAAAATCTTTAAAACAAGAATTCAACAAGATTCTTAAAGATAAAGGTAAGAAGATAAAGAACACAAAAATTTATACTAGTTCACCCATCCACTTGACCTACATCCAGTTTTCCTTGATTTAGCACCCCACCATATCAAAGATCATTCACTATAATATTGTTTACAAACACCTTGTACACACAATATTACAAGAATTTCAAACAACCATCAATCTTGACACCCCAAGATTGAATACAATCAAAATTTTTGTATCCCATAGAAATTACTTGAGAAACCCTTCTCAAGATTTCACCATCTCTTGTTAAGATACCCTATCTCAAGAGATACACCAGTAAAACCAAAAATACAGATTCAAAGATTAGAGTAATATCACCTAGTTTTGTAAAGATGTTAATTTTTCACTCTTAAGTCCAGTTCTTGAATTTCTTCTTTCAAGAATCCATGTTCTTTCTTTGCACTTCTTGAATTTTTTTTAGAAAGTTTTTTTTGTAACACTTTTTAATCTTGTTTATGATAATATCACTTTTCTTAAGATTTCAAAAGTTCTCTTGGGTCTCTTTTTAAATTTCAAAAAAATTGATTTTATAGAGTGCAAGACGTGATTCAGTTATAAAGAGTAATAACAATAGTAATCTACTACCTATGTAGATACTCTGTTACCAACTCTTTTAATTGAACCAGAAACATGAAAAATATCTAGGTAATCGATTATCCCATGTGGTAATCGATTAACCCGAGCTTGAAACGTCCCAGATTTGCATATCACTTTGTTGTAATCGATTATCTACATTGGTAATCGATTAACACGATGATAACTTCATTTTTTCAGCCTGATTCTACGCAAGAGACTCTATTTTAATCTATCACTAACTTTAGTAATCTGTTACCTCAGAGAGTTCTTTAAAAATATGTTCAGTAACAGACTTGGTAATCTATTAACATAGAGGACATTTGAATATCCTTTTCTAGTAATAGGTTTGGTAATCTATTACCCTGAATGCTAATTTGATTAACAAATTCCATCAGTAAATATCCTCATTCCACTTTATTAAAATCAGAAGTTTCTTTGTCTATAAATACTAGTGTCCGAAATATACTAACAACCTTGAGAAACAATCTTGGCCCCAAGCTTAGAGCGAAATTCCATAATAGCCAACCCATACTAATTTGTTTCCTATTGTGATGTATGGGCTCCACTTTTGTATAAATTGGAACAATGACCAATCTTTATCCTCATGAACAACTAACTTCTCTTTAATCATTTCCTCATGAACTCCTATTATTAACACTTTATCCTCCCCGACATATCTTACCTTTGTTAGAAAAGAATGGCTCAATCCAAGAGGGGGGGGGGGTAAATTGGATTTATCAACACTTAAAAATTTATCATAGTTAACGATCTTAATTTCTAAAAATTTTCTAAAAAATAATTTCCAGTGAAGTATATTGAAATTGTATATGGGATAGACTTTTATATTCTTGTCTCACTAATCTTTAGTTACTGAGTTTATAACCATGTTATCATGTAGTACTTATATTTCAATTTAAACCATTTTAATCATACAAGAATATTATTCCTAAGTAGCCATTTTAACATTCAATTAAAGATTGTTTCATGTAAAAGATATGAATGAGAGAAGAATGCAAAGTTATTTATCCTAGTTTAGCCACTCCACTTGTGACCTACATCTAGTCCTCAATCATAACCTAATCAAGATTTATCTCAATATCTCAATGAAGAAGTTTTACAAACATACCACACATGCAAACACTCACTAGTGCAGATAGGGTCTTTCACGTCAGACTTTTTAAGCCTTTTACGTCGAAAAAGTCATCGACGTTAATACGGGAGACGTAAATTTACGTTGCCTTTAAGAGACGACGTAAATTTACGTCGGTTCTCTTTACCTGACGACGTAAAAAGGGCTTCAAAAGGGCAAAAAATAGCCATTAATTTACCCAAAATTAACCTGCATATATATATAGTCCACAGTATAAATTCTAAACCAGGCAGTCCATAATAGAAATTCAAAATTATATTTCAAAATTAAATGATAAAGAAAATAATATATAAATGTTAAAAAGCACAAATTATGACAATGTAAATCCTATTATCCAAAAAAAGCTATAAAACAGATGTTAGCCAATATATATAATTACAGTTTTAAAACATAATGAAAAAATTTAGTTACCCTTGTAATTGGCATTTAATTTCGTGGCTTGGTTTTCGATGTAGTGAACAAAACCACACCACGGTGTATTCCTTAGGAATGATTACCATTAACTGCCAATGGGACCTACATTGTATGAAAAATAAATTAGGTATAAAATTACCATAATTAAAAAACCAATTAAAAAATTAACCCGTCAATGTATGGAGCCATGTATATATCTCTTTGTGAGTCACTCATCCATGTTTGCATATATTGCTGGATCTGGACCTGAGTGTTTCCTGATTTTTGGATGGGTTGAGACTCAATAAATCCATATACTTGTGCTTGATCCACACTCAATTTGTCCATGTACCTAACACAAATAATTATTATAAGTTAAATGTAATTATTGTAAATTTAGACTCATAAAAGAAAATATGACTTAAATGGCCCACAGCTATATGATAAAAATATTTAACATGGAGTTTCCCCCAACAATCTCTAATGCATGAGGCAAAGATATGTATAGTGGAACATCAAAGCTATCAACTCCAAAAACTCTAATGTCCCACTGCAATTGAATTGGCTTCTTCTTTAATCGTGGTAATATGATTAGAAGCTTAGATATGGGATCATCCTCAGCTTCTGCGATATTAGCATCATCAACATGAGGTTCTCTCATGACCTCCTTACCACGATTGATAAAATCCTAAAGAAATAATCAAAATTAGTTAAACAATAATAGAATTATAACAATATAAAAGAGCAATAATATAATTACTTTTGCCCGTGCTGAAAGCTGCATGACCAAACATTTTGGCCAAGCTAAGAATGTGCCGGTTGCCTGCCCCACTAGTTGAATTTCTGAATTGGGCAAAGGCACTGGAGCAGCAGCATCTTGAACTTGGTCAACCACATCCCTTGTCCAGTCTGGCTGTAGAGGGACACCATGGATGGTTGACCCACCCCCAAATACTCGGCCAATAGCCACTAACCGTGGGGGTCATCCTCAACATATAACTCACACTGCTTTGGTACACCAGTGTGAGTCTGTTCCGGTGATGGATCTGGAACAGCACAACTCCCTTTAATGCTGACTCAAACACCATCATGAGCAACTACAGTCTGTTACTGAGAACGAGCCAAAAGTTCAAACTTTTGTTCAAACTCTTCTCGAATATTCTTCAATTTCTCTTCAAACTGCATCTCCATTCTCTACATAGCCTCTTGACTGCAAGAGTCAACAGTGCTCCTCAATGATCGTGCACCAAAGAAATCCTAGTGGCTCCAAGAACCACCAACACCACGCACACGGCCTGCGTGCTCTGGCCTTCCTATGGCCGTTGTGAGGATATCATCCCGACCATGGGAAACAAATGAGCCCTGGGTGCTCTGTTCAACTAAACCCTCCTACAACATATTAACAATAAGTATACCCTAAACTACACTTATGAATTAAATGAGTTGAAATGAAGAGTCTTAGTTTCTATATTTTTACTTACTATTTTATCAGCAACGACCCTTGCAAACTCAGAAGTTATTTGCCCATCTGATTTTGTCCGGGCTGCTATCCACATCTCATGGCGGGGAGGTGACTCCACACGGTCAGCAGACTCAACCCCTGCTGCCTCTGCCCTAGCCTTCTTCATTTCCTTTTTTTTTCTTTCATATCCCCCTCTTGACAATAGATGGGGTGCATCATTCTTGGCCTGTCGTTCTTGGGCAGCTATTCTTTTAGCCTGCAATAATACAAAAAAGAAAATGAGATTAATTAAAATATACCTTAAGTATTTGTGTCAATGTAAGAGTTATCAATAACTAACCTGCCACGAAGGGTCCAATCGAGTGGCACGAAATTGCATCCACTCCTCATCAGTGATTTGGTACTTTAGACAGGGAGTCTCATTTTGTCGCTCTCCAAATACATACTCCCGTGTCAAGAAAGTCTTGAAGTCTCTCCACCTAGTGGCAAGGGCAGATAACATCTTCCTCCTCATGACCTCAGTGTTGGGAATGTCAAAATTTTTCTATGAAAATAACAACAAATAATAAATAATGTATTTAAGTTATATAATATTGAAGGGATGTGAAAGTATATACCTGAATATCCTGCCACATGAGGTTCTTGTCAACCTCCTGAACGTCATCCCATGATGGAATGATAATAGAAACATGTCGTCGAGCTAGGACTCCCAAATAGCTCTTAAACTTGGCAGCATTTGGGCCTGATGCCTTGCTAGAACGAGGATCCACCTCAACTGGTGTCCTCTCCTTCGCAATGCCTCCAGCTATCAACCCAAACAATCAGGTGACAGATCTGCCTTCCCTCCTTCCACTACCAGACCCAGAATCCTCCATAATCCTGAAAAAATTAAATTCTCATTATTAAAATAATGAATTAACTGAATAGACAAATAAAGTAAACTAAAGGTCAATGCCTAAAAAAGTCAATCTTTAATGCATCTGGAACAGCCCGTACTGAAATCAGAACGGGCCGTTCCAGATCAACAATTTACAAAACCAAACATTTAAGCAGAACGGCCCGTACTTCTTGCAGAACGGCCCGTACTTCTTGCAGAACGGCCCGTTCTCCTTGCAGAACGGGCCGTTCCAGATGAACAAATAGTAGAAAATAACAAAACAATTTGCATAGAGAAGAAACTAACCTCAAACGTGTAATGTGCAGACTATTAGACACTTAGAAACGTCCAATGTGGAAACAAAGCTATTTCGAGACTTAGAGAATAAGAGAGAAGAAGTAATATTTTCGTAAGTGGGACGCGCGGGAATGAAAAACAGAGACGTTGTGGCATTTTGGTGGAACATTTACGTTGGTGGTGGTGGTCCGACGTAAATTTACGTCGTAGCATGGGTGGTCTGACGTAAATTTACGTCGGACAGTGTGGCATGCGATGTAGATGGACTAATTTACGTCGGACTCCCCTATGTCTGACGTAAATTAGTCTCCCAATATTTACAAAACTGCCACCGCGTTTTTACAACATCGGGGTTACTGGTTTTCGACGTAAATTGGGTGACGTAGAAGCCCTATTTTGCACTAGTGACTTCAATAAACAAGATAAACCCTTTCTTACACCCAATAAAGTTCTCCTTGTAGAAACCCACTACAAGAACACTTACCACTTGAGAAACTTACTCAAGATTCTTATGACATAACACAAAAAAAATGAAGGAACGAATTCACCTAAAAGTTGAACATCTGAGATTGTGAATTCTTGAAAATCTTAGTCATTCTCTCCAAGAATGTAGTGATGATGATGAATTTTATCAAAATATTTCACAAAATGTTTTTACTTCTTGGTTTTACAAAGAAAACGCTCCAAGAAGATCATAAAGATAAAAGAAATTTCACAAAGTTTGCATAATATCACTTTCTTACTTTTTTTTCCTGAAAGAGAAAACCATTTTATAAAGTTTTCAGACCTAGATAATCGATTATTTTTAAGGATAATCAATTATTTTGTTCTTCATGATTCTGGAAATCACTTAAGAACAAAATAATCGATTATTTTGCAGGATAATTGATTATTCCAGAGAGTACATTTTGGGATAATTGATTTTTTCACAGATAATCAATTATTATAGCAATTTAGAGTAGAAATTATTGATTATACTTAGTATAATAATTGATTATTTTGAGTTAGTTCTCAAAATTCGATTTCACACATCTAGAAACTTTTCAAGTTGTTCTCAATTATCATCATACTCACTCTTAGACAATTAGGATTAAGATTTGACTCATGCACAAAGCATAACCAAACATAAACATGCATTGGATTACATAATTGAATAACTAAGCAACAAAACACATAAACTACTTCTATTATCATCAAAACACTTTAGAAACTTGATTCAGCATCCATGAATCTAAACAACCTTTGTCTTTTTGGCCTTATATGGGATGAGAGCCTCTTGCAAATTTTAAAAATTACTTCTATTTCTTAATATTTCTATCCGACTCTCTTTTAACCATTTTATGTTTTCTTCTTTAATATCAATGCCTTTCCACTCTTCAATGCATTAATTTGGGATGATTTGACATTTAATACTATTTATAATTGATATATTATAATATATGATCTAATGGAGAACCATCCACAAAGAGCTTACACTTGAAGACCATTAGACCTTTAACTAGGTCCATGGTTAGTAGGGTAGAGGAGGCTTCTACATAGGGGGTGCTTCTTAGACCTACACTCTATATGAGCATTCAGTATGATTCCTCTTTTTAGTCTCATAGTCTTTATTGTACATACCTTATATAGTTTGAGTTCTTTTACCACATATATAGTTGATACCTGTATAGGCTTATTTTTGTCTTCGTATTTGTAAGACACCTTTATCTTTCTTTAAAGGTCAACCCTTAAGATTTTATGGCATGTTGCTTGGAGACTTTTATTTCATTTGACCTTGTATTAAGGGTCATATATTTTCATAATTTTAGTTTTAGTAGTGGGGTAGCAAGTAGCAAATGTGTAGGTGAAGGTAGAAATTGAGCCTTTAGTGAGCTTAGGCCAAATTTTACATATTAGGCTTATTTTTCTCCATTTAATCCAAGGAATTGATTTATCTAGGTCTCACCATCATTTAGTGAACCTAACTAAATCGATTCCAATTTCTTGGATTGGATTAAATGAAGGAAAACCAAGCATTGCCACCTATCCCTTTTCTTGGATTTTTTATTAGCTTCTCCAACACACCTTGTCATTTGGCTTGCCAAGGGGACAAGGTGACACTTGACACTCTATGATTGAATCTTCTGGATCTAAGTTCCCTTCCTTGTCTCTTAAGAGACAAGGTGACACTTGGCACTCTATGATTAGCTAATTTAGATCTAAGTGTCCCTACCTTGTCTATACCTTGTCTAGCTTGCACTACAAGCTTCTCCACCACTATATATAGGTTCCTTCAATTATAAAACTCACTTTTGATCATATATGATATTTGACCGAGTTTGTCTACTTTGAATTCTTTCTTTCAAAAGGTCTAAATTTTCTCCTTGATTTGCTTCCAATTCTCTTATCCTCTTCCTAAGAGTATGCTAAGAGTTGAAGTAGTTTATCTTCTACCTTGAAGTGGCACCACTTGAAGAGAGTTCCTCACCTTTTTTAAAGGTGAAACTAAAGGTCTCTTCCTCTATTAGAGATCTTGAAGAATCTTGAGGAGTGTTAAGAAACAAAAAATATAGGAAGAAACTTGATGGATAAGCAACATCAATATGGTTCCTCCATAAGGTTTCCATCATGATTTGTATTAGTGTGTTTAGTTGGTAATGATTATAAATTCTTATTATTTTTTTAAATTTCACCTATTTTTACACTTTTTTCTTGCATAAGCCATAACTAGAGCTCTTGACATCGAATTTAGACGTTATTGATGTTCCTATAAAGATAAGAGAGAATGCTACAACTTCTCTATTGGGAGCAAAGGCTAGTCCAAACATTAAGTGACTCAAAAATGGATTACAATTTTTAGACTAATCCATTCATTTGATTCGAGTTTTCATGATTTATGGTAAACTTTGAGTTCTCGATCTACTTTTATCATACAAATTCTCTTTGCCTTCTTCTTTATTCTAGATCTATTTTCCATTCATCATTATTATGAATTTTTCCTTAATAGATCTAAATCATATTTGAAGATTAATATTGGATCTAGATTTAGATATAGACCTAAAATAATCTAACTCACCTAAATCAACCATTCGCGGTTCTTGAATTTCACAAAAAATATGAGATTGCTATTGTGTTTTACGTTTTTATGAAATTCAATAGATCTAGATTTTTAGATCTACTTTTAGATTATGTTCATTTTTATTTAGGTGAATTGAATTATGATTATAATTTGAACCATGAAGATTTTACCATGGTGATTGAAATATTGAATAAATGTAATCTCTGATTGAAATTTCCATTTAATTTTTTGTTTGCATTTTAATTGTTGATTACTATTCACTATCCAGAAAATCCCCTTGATAATCCCATGATAATTTTGGATCATATCAGATTGTATCTTCGAGAAGAATGACCTAGGTTGTTCCCTATATTATCAATATATGGGGAAAATCTAGTAATTTTTTTATAGTGATTCGACAATGCTATCACACTTTGTTTCCCTCTATAGACACCCAATTTCGTGCAGACTCGTATGAAATGGATTTCTACTATGAAAAGAAGGATCTCCTTAAGCTTGGAGACAACACCATATGACAAAAAGGGGGGACTTGAAGCCCAACAAACTTGGTTTAGTAGCCTAGAATGGGTTGTTCCAAAATCAGAATGGGTCATTTTCAAGCTAGAACGGGCTGTTCTAAATTACTAAAAAGTCCAAAAATCCTTATTGAGAACGGGCCAAAACGGGTCATTTCAGTGCAGTTTGTTATGAGACACGTTCAAATTTGGAATAGGCAATTCTATCATCAGAATGAGCCATTCCAGGTTCAAATTTAACTCATAACTGATTGACCCAAAACAGGTCGTTCCGAACCTAGAACGGGCCGTTTTGGTCAGGTCTGACGTCTATAAATAGTAAACTCAGGCACTGCTCCTAGGGTTGGAAAAATTGGTCTAAAACTCTAGATAGCTCGAAATCTCTTCTTTTCTCTCTTATTTTGTATTTCTTGAGATCTTGTGAGGCGAATTATACTGTGATAGGTAGTCAAAAAGCACCTATGAAGTCTCAAGTTTGAAGATCAAATAAGAGCTCAATTACGAGGTATTTCAATTAATATTCTTCTCTCCTTTATACATCTCACTTTGATAAATATCACCCTAAACCAACAATCATCATGTAGACGCTTCAAAAATGACTGTGTAAATTTAAATTTTGCGCATGTAAGTAACTTTTAGCAAAGGGAATCTAATATTTAATCAATAAATTCTTATCATGTTAATTTCATCATAAGGGTACCGATTTAGGGCATTGTGGGGGTGCTTAATACCTTCTCTACATGTAATCGATCCCCGAACCTGATTTTGGTTGTCAAGGCCATTATTGGATTTTTGAAAACCTTTTCTTTTTCCAATGTTTTGAGTAAAACATTGGTGGCGACTCCATAAACTCATTTTCAAACCATTAATTAGGGATTAGTCTAGTCTCCGGGCATTCCCAAATTGATGAGATTTTTAAAAGGTAATCTAAACCATTGGTCGTGAGATCGAAAATTTTCAGGTTACGACACCCTCATTCCCATTTTTCTTTAATTGTATTTGTATTAGATTTCTTCTTTCTTTTATCTAATGGATCCTCACGATTCACATTTTGATAATGAGCTCAAATGGAAATTTATTGAATATGAATCAAGTGTCATTCGAGCACAACATAAGAACATTCAAAAATTAATTGATCAACAAGTGGAAAAAGAAGGTAGCAACTCCAACCAATGTGTTCGTAAAAGAACTTGTATTTCAAGAAATCGTGAAGATGGTCATCTTCACTTATTTAATGATTACTTCTACACAAGTCTAGTATATAGCAATAATCAATTTTGATGAAGGTTTCAAATACGAAGGAATGTATTTCTAATTGCGAAATGATGCAACTAGCTAGAAGAATAAGTCTTTCACCATTGCAAAAATGCACTACTACAATTCATATTGTGGCTTTATGGATCACTGACAAATAACGTGGATGAGTATGTGCACATTGGTGAAACCACTATAGTGGAATGCTTACAAAAGTTTGTCTAACAAGTGAATGCAATATTTGGGACTAAGTACCTGGGAAGATCCAATAATAATGACATTGACTGTCTATTAAAAATTGGAGATGCACGTAACTTTCCTAGTATCTTAGGTAGCATTGATTGTATGCAATGGGAATAAAAAATTGTCCTACACTGCATGACAAAGGTCAATATCAAAAAGAAGATCATGGCAAACCAACTATTATGTTAGAAGTAGTGACGTCACATGACTTGTGGATTTGGCATGCATACTTTGGTGTTGTTGGTTCTAATAATGACATTAATGTCCTTAGCCAATTTGACGTCTTTAATGAAGTTTTGCAGGGGAAACCTCCTAAGGTAAAATTTACAATAAATGGAACCTATATAGCATGGGCTATTATTTAGAAGATGGTATTTAGTTAGAATAAGCTACATTTGTAAAAAAAACCATCCCAAAGCCACTAGGAGAAAGAAAATTGTTTACCAATGTCAAGAAGCAACTAATAAAAAGGATATGTCGAAAGACCTTTTGGAGTTTCAATCACGTTTTGCAATTATACATTGGCCGACTCGATTTTGAAGCATGGATACATTAAAATTGATAATGGATGCATACATAATGTTGCATAATATGATTTTGGAAGATGAATAAGAAGAATATTATGTCTATTTTTGATTGTTCATACAATGGTCGAAGTAATGTCTCAACACTTGAAGCTTTTAATGAACATCATGAAGCTTTTAGAAGATATTTAGAAAGAAGAGCACATATGCATCAAAAGGAGATACACATCTCCTTGAAGCAGACTTGGTGGAGCATATTAGAAAATATTTTAGACACAAAAAATAACAAAAATTGAACTTTATTTTATGTATTTTAATAGATTACTTGTGTTTTTTTTTTTTTACGTATTTTAAAAATTATTATTATTAATTTTAATTTGCATTATATTTTATATATTTTAATTTTGCAAAGTTAAATTTTATTTAATTAAAATGTATGTATATGTATTTGTTATTTAACAAATGTTATTTAAATACATACTTAAAATTAACATGAATAAGCAAATATAAAAAAATAGATAAAAACCTTAGCAAGTTTCTTGATTGGAGTAAAAGGTTGATTAAATTGTTTAAAATAAAGACTATGATGTGATATTATATAAAAGTATAAAATATTATTAAAAAAAATAAAAGACAAACTTAGTAGAATTGGAACGTTGCTATGTTCTCTATCTCTCTCGTACATTTTGTCCATGAGTTTTTTTGAGAGTGTATCTCTCAACCTCGAACAACACGTGAGTGTGATAGGATATTATTTCATTCCCCATTATTGTCACCACCCTAAAATGATGTTTAATAATAAATTGTTTATAAACTCATTTATTCGTCATGTACTTTTTTTGTTACATTTATTCCTCATGTATAATTCATCATAACTTTTAAAACATTATATAACATCAAATATTATATAAAAATTACATAATCCAAATCCATCATAAGTCAACGTACGTACAATCTTAGAATAAAATTTTCTTCACCTGTTTTTTCGTACTCAATAATAAGAGCATCAAGTGATATTTTTGAAACATTTAACTAATCTTATTGGAAGGACCTTCTTAAGTTTCTTCCAAAGTTGTTTGACAATGAGTCTTGCCATCACATAAACAGGAAATTGAATCATTGCAAATATAGTGACAGGGAAGAATGCAGCACTGTATATCAAGCTTGAAGTCCAATTCTTCCATTCCAATCGAATAGTCAGCAACATGGTTGCACTAAATGCTAGCATTGTTGTCAATAATGATATGAGTAACAATGCAAATCCCAAATTTAGTTTTCGTGGGAGAGACTTGTGAAAATCCCACAACTCACACGGGGAAGTGAGGATGGAAAGAAACACTACCACTGAAGCTAGTGAGGTAGCAAGAGCCACAACATCCATGATGGTGAAAAAGAGAAAAACTTGAGAATGGAGAAATACAGGAGTACCATTTTCAGTTCCACCAGGAACAGTGTAGGCTGCAGCAAATACAACTGTAGCAACTAGAACAGAAACAGTGGAGCATGATTGAGCTGTTTCCTTTAACCATTTTTGTGCCTCTCTAAGCATTTCAACATGCTCATTTTCTAAAATATCTTCTGCTGTTCTTCCATCTATGTCACAATGCATGTTATAGTGTTCAGGCACCATTTTTCTCACTTTCTGGACATGCAATACAATAGTTATTTCATTTTCATTGCAATATATATGCATAATAAATCAATTTATTTTTAAGGTTTTAGGATTGTGCTAGTGTTGAAGTAATGAAATATCTATGTTTCAATCTTATTCTCATCATTTGTACAAATAAAACAATTTATTTTACACGTATATTATATGTGTATGGATTGTTGTATTTATATTCATTGACTCGCCTTCAACAAAAGAGAAAAATATATAAATAATCATAATACAAACTTTTTATATATTTATACTCTATATTATATATAAAGAAAATTCCTCTTTTTGTAACTGCTTTTTGATTTTCATTTTTATATAGATTTTTTGGTCCTAATTTATATATTCGTTTCATTTTTCTTTAAAACTGAAAAGTATACTACTCACAAAATAATAATTTTTATTTTTTAATGGATGAAATAATACGATAATATAATAACTATTTATTTATTTTATTTTTTATTAGTTATATATAAAAGATGTACTTTGAGAGTATATTTTGTGTTTAGTCTCTCAGTACGTGAGAAGGAGCATTATTAAATTTGAAAAGATCTAAATTTATTTGTTATACACGTAATTATGAAAAGCAGAGTCAAAAGTAGTGACAAAAAATATCATTTACACGTTATTTTACTTATATCACTTTTTATAATAAAAAAAGAATAAATAACTATCTTGTTTCTAACAAGGAAAATTGTAAACTATAGTAAGATTATTTTATCTTTATTTTTCCAATAAAAATGTGTTAAGAGATGTAGAATATTGGTTTACGAACAAGAATCACCCAATAAAAATATAATATGTTTCTAATTTATATTATTTTGAACATTTTAACTTATCTTTTATTATTATGTCCCATGTGATAATTTTAGAATTTCTCTAATTATTATTAAATAACAGCGAGACATATTCTACACTATCAAAATTATTTAGAGAAATATATTGATAATATTTTTCAAACAGAGAAATTACGAAGAAAAAATTGAGGGCAAGCAATGAGATATATTTTCATGGTATTGAATAAAAATGGTCTTATTGTTTTGAGACACATCTTTAATTTTCATTGAGATATTCTTTAGAGGCACAATGCAAGCCTAACTTAGCTACACTCGTATGGAGTAAAAGTCATAAAGTAAAAGTATTATTTAAAGCATCTTTAATAGTGTAATTATGGCGGAGTTGTTTAAGCAAATTTTTATGGGTCTTGTAATATATTTCACGTCTTACATTTTTTAAAAAATGTTCATAGAAGTTGCTTATAGAATAATTGCTACATCAATTTCTATAGTTACAAAATTAGTTCCCGAGTTTAAAATTTTCATAAACAACTTCCATATTCACTACAAAAATCAAAGAATTAGTGACTAAATGCACTGATCAAAGACAATAAGAGACTAAAATGGAAGAAGAGTTAAGCTTTGTCTTATGAGCAATCCTTTTGGAAGGAGAAGGCTAAGCTGAACTAGTTTGCTGGGGGATTGTAATACAACTTTTCAAAAGCTGGTCATAGACATACTATGAAGCAAATGAGCTATTTAAAGGACATCAAAACTCATATGTTGCAATTTTATTCATTGTTATATACGACAGACAATAGTTGCAGGCACAATGATCTGATTGAGGCGAGGGAGGTGATAATTTCAATGACCAGATGGTTTTGGTGTGAATTTTTATCATTGCTTTTGGGATATTATTGATGAAGATGTTTCCAAGTTTGCATTGCAGTTCTTACGACAAAATTGAATTTTGTCTAGTCTCAATTCAATTTAGTGGCTCTTATTCCCAATGTAGCCGTTCTTTTTTCCTTTAAAGAAGTGCTTGCATGTTCAGCCATGGAGGCAACAACTTGCATGGATGAAACTAATCTAGTGTAAATTTATCCCTCCATCAAGCTCTTTTCTTTTTTGGCATCTTTTGCATAACAAGCTTCCTAATCTCATAAATGGGATTTGGACCTAACTCAACAATATAAAAAGTGAGTTTAGGTCTAACTCAACATTATAAAATCGATTTGTAAAGTGAAAATTATCTTTTACTTATATTTTTTTTTAATTATCTTATCTCTAATTTATGTTGGACTTAGGTTTCCAACACACCTCCTTACATCAAACACTATTGCATTTAGTACATAAATAAATGGTAGATTTTCCTTTTTAATAATATAAGATAGGTGAGACTTAGGTTTTTCCTAATATCTACTATAGATAAGAATCTATGTGCTTGTGGAGTAATTAATAGTTGTTTCCTTTTGTAGTTTGTGTGGACAAGTGGAAGAATCAACTCATCATCTTTTCCTCCAATGCTCGGTTGCCATGGAGTTGTGGTCCTAGATGAAGCACATTATTCATTAGCCAATTAATTTGTCTTCACCACTTTCCTTGCTGCAAATATTGGAGAAAAATTGGAGCATTCAAGTAAAAAAAATCTAATGTTTCTACAATAGTGCATATAATTTGGGTAGTGTGGTTCAATAAAACAATATGCATGCGTTTTAGGAATTGCTCCATCTCTATTCCGAGAGTTGTTGCTTTGGTCATGCATCTCAGCTACATCTTTGTCGAGTAGTTTATCTTCGGGGCATGTACTTCACTCTTTGAAAGAAGTGAGAATCCTTAAAAGATTGCATGCCACTATTCACCTTCCCAAAAATATGCTTATTAACTAGTGGGTTTGCACCCAGGACATCCTGATTTGTTAAGTGTGACACATGGACGGTGGGGTTAGAGGTTCTTTTGATCACGCAACATGTGAGGCATTTTCAGAGATTCTAGCTAGTGGCTTCTTTCTTGGTAGATTTACTTCATAGATTTGTGTTAACTTTATCTTGTATGTTGAACTAGTAGTTGTGATGTTGGCAATAAAAGATTTTGGGGGTGGTTAGGTGGTAAAAGGACAAGTGGTTTTGGGTTTGGAGTCATTAAACATGGATTCAAATAGTTTAGCCAGATCAATGGCTTGAGAAATTGAATAAGGGTGTAGGATTAGCAACTTGTGACGAAGTTTAGCCTTTTAGCCCTAGATAATAGATTGTCACTGGTCAAAGCATAAACTCTATTAAAAGTTTTTCAAATTGAGTCTAGTAATCAAAAATTGACCTATATTGGCAAAGTTTGTATAGTTCTTGTTGATGCTTCTCGTAGGACAACAAACCAAAACGAAGCTCAAGTGCAGGAGCAAAGGAATTCCAATTTGTTAACTATTGGTTGTGGTAATCCACTTGTACCAACAAAGGGTTTCCCCTTTCCTATAAAAAGCAGCAACATGGAGTCCATATTCCTAAGGGATTTGATATATTATGAAAAATATTCTACTTGAAACAACCAATCTAAAGGATTTGATCCCTCAAAAGTGGTGAGTTGGAGTTTAGGAGAGTGAATGAGAGGTATGTTTGGTTGTATAGGGTTTGGAAATAGGGTTCCACTAGCTGAAACCACAAGGAGTTGTGAAAAAGGTAAATTCATGATTGGGAAGGTAGTGATGTGGTGGTTAAGAGGAATGGATGAGCCAAGGGTAGGAGGGTTTGTTGGAAAACAAAAGTGGAGGTAGGGATGAGAACAATATTTTGTGAAAATGAAAAGGGCATACAATAAGGGAAGCTAGGTTGAAGGGAAAAAGGTATTGAAACTTTGAGTGGTGGAGGTGGTGGGGGTAAGCACATATGGGTGGAGAAAGGTGGGGTACCTTGGGAAATAGACAAAGTAAAAGGGGAGGTTGAGATGGAAGGGGAAAAACAAGGGGGAATAGGTGGATTTAGTGCAACTCTAGGACTTAGAAGCGAAGATGTGTGGGGTTTGGTCACCAAGGTTGTTAATTTCACCATTATAACATCCAAGGAGGGAAATAATGTGGGTTGGCTTAGATTACTTAGTGTTGCACGCCTAGAAGGGAGCACACTTTGGGACGCAAAAGAGCAAAGCAACTCGAACGAATAAATGTGAAAGGAGCAAAAATAGCCCAACTCATTAAACTAATGTGGCACCAAGTTCAAACCATAGGGAACCATAGCATGGGAGGATGTCTAATCATTTTGCAGCCCCGAGGATGGTTAATTATATGCAACTAGCTTGAATATCGTTTGTTTTGAAAGGCACATGAGTTTGAACACAATGTTAAATGTGCAATTGACACTATAGTACATAGGTACTTGCATAGTCACTTGGCGAGTACCGTGCAATTTCTATTGAGTTTCAAAATAATGTTGCATGGTCTTGTTTAATACCTTTGAAATGAATATTTTGAGTTATAGTGATACTAGAACAATCTAAAGACTTTCTAGCCATTTTAAAAATTGATAAAGAAGAGACAAGAGTTCTAAAAGACATAAATCTTCTTAATGTAATAAATTCTACTTCCACTATCCCATATTTATATTCAATTATGTCGTTTATTACGACAGGTTCAAAGGGTTCATAGTTTAAAAGATCTTCAAGTTTCCATTTTAAATCACTAATTATTTTATTATGTCTTAAAATTTTAGGAACCACAATTTACCTTTTTTTGGATTTTCCAGAAGTAAAGTGGTTTCATCTTTTGAAGACATTAACAATGTTCCAAGGGCTAATTGAGTTTTCATCACCTAATAATATATTATATAGACTATAGTAATGGGAAATGAATTTTGATTCATTGAGCTTTTATTAGGATAGAGGCTAATGTCGTTGTGCTATGGGCATTTCTTGTGGATGATGGGTTCTTTGCACCTAGGGGGTTGGGGTAGATGTTTTGATAAAAACCATTTTCTCAAGCTCTTCATAATTCTCGTGATATTCTTATAAGTCAATTACCTATGCCTTGCATGTAGGAGGATGTCGGAATCTAAAAAATTCCAATCTTGCCCATAGATGGTTGAGACTTTTATTTAAAAAACCTCATTGGTTAGGGAATGCCCGGAGACCTAACTAATCCCTAACCAACAATTTTTAAAAAATGTTCGAAGAAGTCGCCACCAATATTTTACTGAAAATATCAAAAAAAAGAAAAGATTTTGAAATTATAATAAAGGCTTTCATAGCTAGAATTAACTTAGAGAGTTGGTTACGTGTAGAAAAGGTGCTAGGCACCCTACAATGTCCTAAATCCTATGATGATATTAGCATATTAATAAATAATATTTTAAATATCTTATCTCCTTTTATTATTTAATATTATTTAAATGACAGAAAATACTTATTATCTACATGATTATTTATTGGCATATAAAAATTATAAATAAAATGATAAATAAAGAAATAAAATAATAAATAAAACCATAAAAATAATAATAAATAAAATAAATAAAAACAATAAATAAAAGAGACAAATTTAGAACCTCTAAAGCAAACCTTTTATAAGGGAATCTTCCCAAATGTGTGCAGGACACGTTTTGGCAGTCCTTCACTCTACAAAAACCTCACTATCACTTAGATATTTATATAGAGAGGGGGGAAGCTAAGCAACGTTTTTGGTCCCCTAATACCTTGGCCAAAGGGTTTCTTATATAGCCAACTAGGAGGCAGAAACATAAAAGTGTTATCTGACGTGGAACTATATTTTATAAAAATACAATCTTTTTCTAAGTACTATGCAGGACCTGTAGAGAACTCATTAACCGTCAGATACTTCTGGTTATTTTATGGCATCCTCACAATATACTGATCTTCAATTTCAATGATTAGATCTTTAAAATCAGGTATGTAGTGAGAGATACTATCATAACAAAAACTCCATTTGGTATAAGACTTTTTTTTTTCAACTGCAATGAAAGGCCTCTAAAGAATTCATTAACCGTTTGATCATGCTGAAAACTTGATTATATCTTCTTAATACATTGATATTTAACTTCAATTGTCAGGTCATCAAAACTAGGTCTTTAGCGAGAGATATTATCAGAACAAAAATGTTGCCCAACGCAAAATTTTCTAGAAAGGGGAACGGGCCATTCTGATTTTAAAACAGGTCATTCCAACATTGAGAACGACCATTCCACACCCTAAATCAAAATTTTTGAGTTTTATGTGCCTTTCGGAGCCATCTTGGCCTGCTTAGGTGCTTTATTGGGCCCTTAGGGGACATGCGTGCTACTCTTTCCTGTTGTAGTGTGAGGCCTCAGAGAATTCGTTAACCATTGGATCATGCTAAAATTTTGATGATATCTTCTCAATACATTGATCTTTAACTTCAATGGTTGGATCGTCAAAATTAGGTCTATAACAAGAGATGTTATCATAACAAAAATTCTACCCAATGCATTGGGACCTCAAGGCTCGTTGTCTCGCTCTAGTAGACCTTTATCCTAGGTTTGGGTACCCCGAACAAAATTGGGTATCTACAACTACCCCTCTTTACTTGTCCTTTGGATGGATAGATGATGCTTTTCCAAAGGAAAGTAAGGATGTAGACGTTTCGTCTAGGTTTTCTCTTTGCTTCTTTGTGTATGTGCTTCCACATTACTTCCTTCAAATAGATGGGTTTTCCCATATCCTTGCTCTTTGGAGTAGTTGAATGTTGGGTTGCATATTCCATTGGGTAACAAGGATGGAAAATTGTACTACCTAATATTTTGTCTTCATGTAGATGCTCCACACCATTTCCTGTAGTTGCTTCTCTATGGTAATGAGGTGAAGATCTTTTTGCGCTCACTACGGAGTGAGTATTATCTAAGCTCAACCAATCCAGGTTAGACTGATATTAAAGACTTCAACTAATCTCTAGTGGATACTCAATTGTGATCCTTGTTTTGACTTTAAGAACTCTGTGGTGTCCTCAATGCTGTTCACTAATTTAAGGAACTCGACGGTGTCTTCAAATTGAAATGAATAGATGTTAACGCCCTTGGCGAAGGTGGGCGTAAGGACCTTTGGCGGATACTTGGTGATGATCCTAGTTTTGACTTGAGGAACTCGACGGTGCCCTCAATGTCGTTCACTAATTTAAGTAACTCAACGATGTCTTCAAATCGAGATGAATAGATGTTAACACCCTTTGTGAAGGTGGGAATAGGAACCTTGGGTGAATACTCGACGGTGATCCTGGTTTTGACTTGAGAAACCCAGCGGTGCCCTCAATGTCATTCACTAATTTGAGGAACTCGACAAGGTCTTCGAAATAAGATGAATAGATGTTGATGCCCTTTGTGAAGGTGGATGTAAAAACCTTTGGTGGATACTGAGCGGTGATCCTAGTTTTGACTTGAGGAGCTTGGTGGTATCCTCGATGTCACTTTCTGATTTGAGGAACTCGGTGGTGTCTTCTAATCGAGATGAGGGGTGAGTGTTCCTTGATCCAACCTCTCCAAGCTGGATTGGTATTAGGCTCCAACTGACCTTTTGAGTATTTCTATGCGGCCTCTCCAAGCCTACAAAGTTTGGTATTTCTATGTGACTTCTCCAGGCCTATAGGGTTA